TGCATCTTACCTCCCAAGGCCTTTAATGTCCCTGGTATCTTAACCCATATCACCTAACCTAACCTAACCTAGTAAAAAAAAATACTCGCAAGGCAAAAACAAAGGGATTTTAGTGTTCACATCAAGGTGTGGACAAAAGGTATAGTAATCAGCCACTGAGAATGACCACGTCACTCGGGTAACCAACCAGCCAGCCAGGTGGGAGAGATGGGAGGAGGTGGGGGCAGGTGAGGTGGGAGAGAAGGGAAGTAGGAGGGAGTGAGGGAGGGGGGGGTGAGGGGGTTGAAATATACACGAGGTAAGTAACACACGTCACTCACATTAATATTGCTACTGGAGTGTATAAGCCACATAAGCGAGTGCTGTTCGTGGTGGTTCCGCGATTCGACATTTCTTATATTTTTTTTAACCCTGGACAAATGGTCAGTGATGGCATTAATATGGAATAGACTTTTATGAGACGTACTGGACGATAACATTAACCTCGTGATGGAAGTGATTAGTTCATTTTTAACCTTATTATTATTATTATTATTATTATTATTATTATTATAGATGTTGAATAATAACTTTATCAGGCGAAGATAGATTTCATTTTTCACTTGTATTTTCATCCTATTTTTACACGTATTTTCATGGTTGTTGAAAAATAAAGAACAGAGATGGGGCGTTTGTGTTACAGGTGTTTGTGTTACAGGTGTTAAGGTGTTTGTGTTATAAGGTGTTTGTGTTACAGGTGTTAAGGTGTTTGTGTTACAGGTGTTAAGGTGTTTGTGTTACAGGTGTTTGTGTTACAGGTGTTAAGGGTTTGTGTTACAGGTGTTATGGTGTTTGTGTTACAGATGTTAAGGCGTTTGTGTTACAGGTGTTAAGGTGTTTGTTTATTTAAGCTCGCTGTCATGCTCTGTAATGTAATATCCGAGTTCGATTTCTTTTCTTTACTGAATAATTGATTAACTTCGATTTTGACACTTAATTATGACACTGTTCTTGACACCTATACCTGACACTTCCTTACCCTGATGCCTGACACTTCCTTACCCTGATGCCTGACACTTCCTGACCCTCATGCCTGACATTGATGGCTGACACTTCCTGACACTTCCTGACAGTGATGGCTGACGTCTTGACACTGATGCCTGACACCTCCTGATTCTGATGATTGACACTTCTTAACATTTGATGCCTGACACCTCCTGACACTGATGCCTGACACTGATGCCTAATACTTCCTAACACTGATGGTTGACGCTTCCTGAAACTGATGCCTGACACTTCATGAAACTGATGCCTGACACTTCATGAAACTGATGCCTGACACTTCATGAAACTGATGCCTGACACTTCTTAACACTGATGCCTGACACTTCTTAACACTGATGCCTGACACTTCTTAACACTGATGCCTGACACTTCATGAAACTGATGCCTGACACTTCTTTTCACTGTTGCCTGACACTGATAGCTGACACTGTTCCACTAAAGGACGATATACTACGTGTTACTCTGACAAATTATTATGAATAGAACTTAACTAAATAAGTGACCTTAAGTCTTAAATTATGAAGACATGCAGGTCAGTGAAAATTCTTCTTCTTTAGTAGTCGTCTTCTTCCTCCTCTTCTTCTTGTTTAGTATTTTTCTTCTTCTTCTTCTTGTTTAGTCTTCTTCTTCTTCTTTAGTCTTCTTCTTGTTTAGTCTCCTTATTCTTCTTCTTGTTTAGTCTTATTTTTCTTCTTCATTAGTCTTCTTATTCTTCTTGTTTAGTCTTCTTCTTTAGGCTTCTTCTTCTTTAGTCTTCTTTAGTCTTCTTCTTTAGTATTCTTTTATTCTTCGTCTTCTTTAGTCTTAGTCTTCTTCTTCTTCTTTAGTCTTCTTCTTTATTCTTCGTCTTCTTTAGTCTAAGTTTTCTTTAGTCTGCTTCTTCTTCTTTAGTCTTCTTCTTCTTCTTTAGTCTGCTTCTTCTTCTTCTTCTTTAGTCTGCTTCTTCTTCTTTAGTCTTCTTCTTTATTCTTCGTCTTCTTTAGTCTGCTTCTTCTTCTTCTTTAGTCTGCTTCTTCTTTAGTCTTCTTCTTCTTCTTTAGTTTTCTTCTTATTATTTAGTCTTCTTCTTCAACAATAAAAATAACAAAATACAAAACTAAATATAAAGTAATAAATTTTCTGCTAAAGATAAATGAACACAAAGAGAAAGAAATAGAAGACGAGGAAATAAAAATAAAAGAAAAAAAAACAGCGATATAAGACCACAAAAAAAGTTAAATACCGATATATAAATAAAAAACAAAAGTCTTATATAAAAAAAACCCTCTGACGACAACACACATAAATAAACAATAAATATACAAAATTAAACGATCTTTCTTAAGCGTGGTCTCAAATTTCCTGTGTGTCGTGATGACTTGATATAAATTGTAGATGATATTAGGGCGCTGCGTGGGGGAGGGTTGGAACACAGGTAGGGGAGTGGCAGGGGGAGGTAGGGGTGGTGGGGAGTGGGTTGTGGTAGAGATGTAGGGTGGAGGAGGTAGGTGGTGGTGGGGGAGTAGGTTGGTAGGGAAGTAGCAGGGGTGGAGGAAGGTAGGGGGGTGGTATGGTGGGAGTAGAGGTAGAAGTGGAAGGGGTGAAGAGGAGAGTACCAGTGGTAGGTTTGGAGAATATTGTTAGGTGGTATGGGTGGACCGCAGGTGAGGGGGAGTAACAGGGTGAAGGGCAAGTCGAAGTGGAAGGGGCAGTGTAAGGGGTGAAGGGGCAGCGTCAGGAGTGAAGGGCAGCGTCAGGGAGTGGAAGGAGAAAGTCAGGGGTGAAGGGGCACGTCAGGGGGCAGAAGGGGGGCAGCGTCAGGGTGGAGAGAGAGAGAGCAGCGTTAGGGAGTGAAGGGGGCAGAGTCAGGGTGAAGGGGCAGCGTCAGGGGTGAAAGGGCAGAGTCAGGGGGTGAAGGGGGCAGAGTCAGGGAGTGAAGGGGCAGAATCAGGGAGTGAAGGGGTAGAATCAGTGGTGAAAGGGGGGTGGAGGTAGCTAACAAGGGGTGAAAGAAAGGAATCAGCCCCCCTCCTTTATTAAGCGGTTAAGAGAGGGGGGGGGGCGGCGCCATAAAGCACCAAGTATCACACTCCGCACCTTGACGCCACATAATGTACCGCACCTTGCCGAATACCTTGCTTGAAATATTAACTGAGTGATGAGGGGGAATATTAGTGTGTGTCAGTAATATTTGTAATATAGGTAATGGTAATAATAATGATGGTAAGGATAAGAGTAATATTAAGTCATACCGTAATGATAGTGATATTAATAACAGTTGTAATAATAATATTAATTTCGCTAATCGATCAATTTTGGACATCCGTCACGAAACGTCAATTTCTTACAAGAAAACTATTTTTGGTAAGGTGATGTGTAGTAAAGGTTAAGAAATAAAAACTGAACAATATACAAGAAGTTGGATACAATTTGACGAATGATCGATAACTCTGTGTCCTGACCAATCACAGGTTACCCTTTTTTTTCCCTCTAAGGTACACGCCGACCAATCACAACGATCCTCACTCACAAGAAAAATCACGGATAGGTTAGGAAAAGCTGGCCTGTGATTGGTGAATTAGTTACATGTCGGGAATAAATATTTATTGGCTAAGTTCGGAAACTTGGCTCGAGATCGGAGAGTTAGTTGCATATTGCGTAAAATGTTGAATGGAAGAAATTGAAGAGGTGGTTTTTGATTGGTGAATGAAACTCTTGTAGCCTGTGAAAGCTGGACTGTGATTGGTTGTTGAGTGTCAGGCATCGCTTCAAGCAGGACGCTTTTGTCAACTGAGATAAATTGGCTCGTGTTGAGGCCAAAGTATTATATACAAGTGTGTGGTGTATACTGACACACACACACACACACAGACACACACACACAGACACACACACACACACACAGACACACACAGAGACACACACACAAACACACACACACACACACACATACACACACACACACTGCGACAGAAGTCATAAAGTTTTTCTTCATTACACGGACAACATTATTCACAGAGTTGTATGGTTTAGTTCAGGTAACATTGTTTAATCTTAAAATGAAACCAATTCAGTGTTTGTCTTATTTTGAATACATATCCGTTTAAGAAATATGTGGCCTATCATGTGTGTGTGAGCTCAATATAAATATTTATGAATTGAATACACAATGCCGTTACCATAGCAGCAATTTTTTTTTATATTCACTGTCAGAAGGAAGACACACACGCACACACACACACTACATTGCCTGGTAAACAGATACACCCAACACAGTAATAACCCGCCATGTGTGTCATACTGGACAGGCGAGGAAGAATATAAACACACATCACCTACACTATATAACACTAGTATAGTTATAACAATTGTCATTACACAAAGTAAAAGTTTGTATTTTTAAAGTGAAAGTATAATTTAGTTGAGGGGTTAAATTAATAGATTTAGGTTACAGTAGGGGTGAGGAAGGCTTACAGTGTATTATAGTCAAGTGAGGACTAAATGGTCTTTGTTTGTAGCGGAAATTTGTTTTATGAGGATAAATATTGCTCGTGTGTGTGCACCTGTATACCAGCGCACGTACACACACACACACTCACACACATATGCACGAGTGCACACGCTGATATATATGCACTGACATGCATTCCCAAAACTACACACGCTCGCGAGTGCAAAATACATACAGATGAATGTGTATACGTATACGCACACACTAAAAACATACACACTTAAGTTTTTGAGTGCACATAAATAACCGTATAAAAACACATACAGCATGCTTTCGCGCGCGCTCACACATGCAGAAGCGAGCGCGCACGCACACACTGGCCCGCGAATATATATACACCTCACATTCCAGTTGCACAGTTAAAAATGGTGAAATGTGTTTCTTTTGTTAAGCAAATGTGTTCAATTTGACTTATTTATGAAATTCGCAGAAGTTCTTGAATAATTTGATCAATATTTTCACTAACCTGAAACAACTGCAGAAATGATGTTCATTATTCCTAAAATGTTACAATGAAAAAAATCCTCCTTGACAATATAGTTCTCATAGAATTCATCACGTATAAGTGTCACAACACAAAATTCCCGAATACTCAGGAGGTCCAGGTGTTTACTGCGCAACAGTCAAATGCCAACTGACACCTGAGAACCTCTTGCACTAGGGACGAGGTCCGTCTGGCAGCTGAGCGTTGCCACCCGCTCTGAAAAACTGTCGTACTCTTTTTCCAAGTGTTAAATTAAATTCCCTTACACATGCTTGAATTACTCTCTTAATTAAAACTAACTCATAAATCTTTGGCATGAATACATCATCAACATGTATGTATTAAAAACAAAATGGACGAGTATACAGTATGTTTGTATACGCCTACGTATACACGTACAGTATATACTACAGGTAATATATGTACAGTACAGTATACAGTACTGTATTACACAGCTCCATAAGCAACTTATATATATATATATATATATATATATATATATATATATATATATATATATATATATATATATATATATATATATATATATATATATATATATATATATATATATATATATATATATATATATATATATATATATATATATATATATATATATATATATATATATATATATATATATATATATACACAATAGTTTGCTCAATGATTGTATCAAATAAAAGATAAAGTTGTAAATATAAATCAGTCCAAGTCTGACAGACGCCAAAAGTTGTTCTGTCGCGGATAATTTATGTTTTGCTTAGCACAATAATAGTTGAACACTTGGTGAACTACACTGGGCAGTCGTGATAAATGTGCCACATTACCCCAGCTGGTGACCTCCCTGATGGCAACACCGATAGTGCTCATTCACATACGCTGAAAAACGTAAACAAATATTCTTGTCGATGTTGATTCATAGCACCATACTATACAGTACTGCACTATACCATGCTTACTGCTGCAAACTCACCATTAATAAATTCTTGTTATTTTCTTATCAATTAAGCGTCGGAATTTCGATATTGGAGCTTTTGAATATTTTAAATGAAATAAACACATACTATGTTTTGTTGTGCGAATTATGAGAACTGGAAGACGAAAAAAATATATGAATGTATTGGGATTGATCTACATTACCTATTAAAACCTTACCATAAATATATTCTGCCCGAAGTAAGGAAGACATAATCGTATTCCTTATGGATATAATCAGTTTACACTGTGTTGTATCCCGCTCATAGTAAATTGCATGAATAAAAAAGACACCTCCCAGCTCTCCTTGTGGTCAACTCAGACGATAAAATATAAGGTCGCTGTGAAACAAGTTGAATCGTTTTTGGTGATTTTTCTTGACATTTGACGTCAATCCGTTTTTACTTGGTAGATGATGTGATCTTTTCAGCCATTCAGAGAGTCTTTGTGTTTTTATTAAGGACTCGTCGCTGTGTCACTTGAGGTCAGGTTGTTTATTATTGTCTTGGAGTGTTATGGCCATGGGTGCTGCGTTCTCATGTGCATGGCTTGAGTGCGTCCTCGTGTCCGTGGCTTGAGTGCGTCTTGTATATCTATAAATCATGTTACTTGGTCATTATATGTTTTACTTGATACAGCTCATCATGGTAGGCAATGGATTGATTAGCGCCTGTTTGCTCTTGTCTGCTTGTCTTAAATCATCATGTTCTTTCCTGGTCACAGGTTTCAGGGTTCAGATAGACCTTCATCGCATTAAGCCGTGTCTACTTAGGGCAACAACTCTGTCATGTTCACTGAGGCTTATTATGTGAGAGTGAATCCATAACACATTGATCCTAATACCCTCGTCAACAAGTCAAGTACTGAATGTAGGTGTCGGGCTTCAGAGACAAGTGCTTCACCATCTGAGTTGAGGGCGTCAAGGACAAGTAGCAAGGATAAGAAGTCAGTTTTGATGAGACTGATTATATTATACTAACAGCTCTCCCACAGGCAGTGTTCAGGTAGCCGTTAGTGTAGATGGTCTGTGCGGTGTTCTTTTCAGCCTATAGGTTACGTATGTGTTCAAGAGCTCTCACTTTGGCACTGTGCTGGAAATGAGGATTGTGTGGTCAGTCGTTTAGGCTGGTATGTAGGTGTTATGATGTCTCAGGGTGGCAGGACGAGGTGTTGTCTCAGCTTTGTACAGATGGTCTAATCCAAACATCCTCATATGTGTAGCTATAGTTTGTATCCATTTCGATTCACCAGTTCCATGACTCATATATTTTAGCAGTTTCATGGACACAATATTGTCAGGATCACCACGCAAAAACCTCAGGACTATAACAGATTGAGTTCAATTATTCTCTCTTTGACACTGAGTATCCCTAGGTCTCTCCTCATATTGCTGTAAGTACTCTCGTGTTCCTGGGACAACCTAAGGCAATTTTAAGTCAATCGCAGACAAATCCAGCATTATTACTATTAGCTATACAGATCATTCTCAAGGTGATAGGGTCGAACTCAAGGGGTTTGTCCACCAGGTCTTAATTATTCCTTTGCCACCTTTCTGTTTATTTATCCCACCTTTGCCACCTCTCTGTTTATTTAGCCCACCTTTGCCACCTCTGTTCATTTATCCCACCTTTGCCACCTCTCTGTTCATTTATTCCACCTTTGGCACCTCTGTTTATTTATCCCACTTTTGCCACCTCTCTGTTCATTTATCCCACCTTTACCACCTTTCTGATCATTTATCCCACCTTTGCCACCTTTCTGTTCATTTATCCCACATATTATCCCATGGGGGCATATAGTGTACTTCGCTCTTAATGTCTGTCTGTGTTTTGTTATGTTCTCGTGCGGGCTGTAATAAGGGGAGAGATTTGTGGTATAATGTTACACAGCGAAGAATACCAACACCGCTGTGGCTCTGGATTTCTTTAGAGAGAGAGAGAGAGAGAGAGAGAGAGAGAGCACAATATAAACATGATCTATGATACAATACTTTACAATATTGTCCACTGAACTAGACATCGAGGAGCCTCCTGTAGGGCACCTTACCACTTTGTTAGTGGTCTGTGTGTGTGTGTGGGGGGGGGGGTAGCAGGAATCAGCCAGCGGACCTACACGTCTTGACAATAACCAGACTATTGACAGTGTCCAGCCCCACGTTACTACCAACACCACACACCACAATACTCCTCGCCGCCGCCACCCACCCACCCACCTCCTCCTCCTCCTCCTCCTCCTCCTCACCTACCTACTTCTATCTCTTGATATTCATTTGTTTTTCTCACTTTTTTTAAGTTTGTAGTTTTTTCTTCAGTTTGTGTTTGGTCATATTCGTGTATATTATTCTGTGTTAGTGTATTTATTTGTATATTTTTGTACAAGTCTTTTCTTTAAATTAATCCTGTTTTTATGGTGTATGGTTATTAATTTAATGATATAAAACTCGGTTTATTCGTAATTTAGTTCAGTTTTATATTTAATATATTTCACAACATACAGCAAATAACAAAAAAGGATTAACCGCAAAACACAATTAAACTAAACATCTGCTGAAATACATTTTGTAATAAAGGAGAAGACTCGATATAACTATTTTAAGTCCTCAGCACTGAAGACACGGGGCGGGGCAGGGCCTGACAAGTTTCAAGACCCTATGAGGAGATACCATCATACAGTCAACTGAGGGAACTACACAGGGGGACCCTGTCGGCCTAACCGTGCTTCAACACACAATAAGCTATGAAACAACCGAGGTCAAGCAAATGGCCTATGCCGATGACCTAACAGGAGCAGGAAAAGTGGAGGACATCAAAAAGTGGTGGGACCTGATAACATCACGTGGTTCACAAATAGGGTACCACCCAAATGCCAGTAAGTCCTTCCTCATTGTGAAGCCAGAATATTATGAACGGGCAATGGAGGTGTTCGGCGGAAGTGAGGCCAAAATAAATGAGGGCGGCCAAAGACATCTAGGTGCGGTAATCGGTACGAATGACTTCAAGACGGAGTACGTAAAGGGGAAGGTTAATGAGTGCGTGAAGGAAATCCAAGCTCTGTCTGATATTGCTAAAAAAGAGCCACGTGCTGCTTTTGTGGCATTAACCCATGGAGTCAAGCATCGCTGGAATTACCTGATGTGCACTATCCCTGATATCGGACCCCTCCTCTACCCTCTGGAAGAAGCCATCAGCGTATTTTTTTTCCAAAATTTGTGAAACACTTTCACTTAACCCCAGCAGATAGGTCACTCCTCGCACTACCACCGAGACTGGGAGGAATGGGAATGACCAATCCAGAGGAGCTTGCTGCCACCGAACACCAGAACTCAGTCAAGTTCACGGCAGCCCTCACTGAGCACATAATAGCTCAGAATGCAACAAGTGAGGTGAATACCAATGAATTAAACAAGATTCGACGGTCCAGTACGACAGAACGACAGCACACCCAAAGTGATAAACTGCAACAACTGATGCTGCTAGTGCCAGAAAACTTGAAAAAAAAAAAGTAGCTATAGCGCAGGAGGTGGGCGCTTCGAACTGGCTAACAACGTTATCGATAAGGGCAAAAGGTTTCAGCCTTAATAAACAATAATTCACAGATGCCATTGTTCTAAGGTACGGTTGACCAGTGGAAGGTTTGCCCTCCCAATGCGCGTGTGGCTCATCCTACCACATCACACCATGATGTGCAAGAAGTGGGACTTCGTATGCACGAGGCATGACGAAGTAAGGGATCACAGCAAATATACTGAAAGAAATCTGCCACGATGTTACGGTGAGAACCTCCATTACAGGACTTCCAACACATCTAACGAAACCCGTGTAGATGTCAGTGCTCGAGGATTCTGGACGCATGAACAGCGAGCTTTCTTTGATGTCAGGATATTCGACCCCATGGCTGCATGTCACCGTAACTTGTCTCTTGAAGCTACACACAAGAGGAACGAGAACGACACGGTTAGGTCATATGGCGAGAGAATTCAGAATGTAGATCAGGGCAGCTTCACTCCTCAGGCGGGATGGGACCAAGTGCAAGACGCTTCTATGCAAGCCTGGAGGTGTTGTCTGAGCAGAAGTAGCAGCCCAGAAGCCACGTTGCAGCCTGGTTGAGATGTCGACTGTCTTTCTCTCGGCTTAGGTCTGCATTGCTTTGCCTCAGAGG